ACCCTTCCTTGGACCCCAACAGATCCACCCAATGGACTCTCCTGAGCAGCTTTAAGAAACGCAACGCCTGTCCCACCACAATGGGAATCCCTGGCATAGGCCACGGCACTGGGAAGGGCAAGGGCTTCAGGCTCCTGCAACAGAGGAGCGCCCGGCCCCCTGGTTTACTCCCATCTCCTCTGCAAGTCCAACGAGCACTAGAACCAACAGCAGAGACAAGAAATGAAACGCACTGGAAACAGACTCATTTCTCTGTAATTCCCACTTCCTATGTCACTGTGTGGCCCTTATTCAGACCAGACTCTGGGTTGTTCTGAACCTGGCAGTGTCTCCCCACCCCCACCCATCCTGTCCTCTGACCCCTCACCCAGGGCTCAAAGGAGGAGTCGCCCCCAGTGCACTCAGGGCATCAGCGAGAGCCCCACATGAATTATTCATCACCCTCCCCCGCCACCATGCTCTCAAGATGAAGCCCCCAGTGCCGACTTGAAGTCCAAAAATGTGGGAAAGTTTATTTATTTCTCCAAAGCATTCCTGATTTGTAATGTGCTTTCTAAAAATGTTCCAACAGACCAAGCCCCTGCTATATTTAGCCACGGCGTTTAAAGAAATGTCCCTTACACTTTATAAGGCGGGCCTGGAAACGAGTGCATTTAGGGGAACCGGCTCCCCAGTCCTGTCCTGGTCTCCCCAGAAGTGGGATGGAAGCTTTTCCAAGCCTTGGTGCTGGGGCAGAAATAAAGAGTTTTGTTCATTCCCAACGCCCTTGAGTTCACAATGGCCGGACTACCATCCCTGGGGGCCCCTCCTAAGCTCCTGGGAAACACCACAGGGACTTGCTCCCCTGGGCTGTGCAAACAGACTCCCCTGCGGTTTTCCTCGGCTCCCCTGCCATGCAGAGCTGCTTTTTTTGCTTTTGGTTTCATGTTCAAACGATTGGATCAACTCAGGAGATGTAACGTTGCAGTGGAGAAATGAAAATGGAGCCCAGCCGACCCGCAGGGAGAACTGGAGCAGTCAGCCCCCAGGGGTCTTCTGTTACCTCCAGAATTATGTAACCTGAGCAAGAGTTGTTGGTTCATGATTTTGTTACCGAACGAAGAAGTCACAATGGAATTGTAAAATAAATACGTGTAGATTCGAGGCTATGTCTGTCTGCATGGATAAGACCTCCCGTCACTGACCGCTGTCTGTGCACCAGATATTTCATAGGCATCCACTGATCTAATCCTGACCATGGCCCTATGCAGGAGGAGTCACGATTATTCCCATTTCGCAGACAAGAACGGGAGCCGGTGCTGGCCTATGAATTTAATCCATCATTTCATTGACTCCTCACAACAGCCGGACGAGGCAGTTACAAATATTACCCCCACGTAATACAGATGAGAAAGTTAAGTCTCAGAAGAGTAAAGTTATTTCACGCTTAAGTTACCGGTGCCACACAGCACGTGAAGGCAGAGCTGGGTCATTAGCCTCTGTCTGGTGGGCTCCAAGGCCACACATATGAAGAGGTCAATGTAGCCCTCCCCCCACC